GTTTCTGTTCCTTAGTATCTCTCTTGTCGGTAGGACAATGGTCTGACCGAAACTGCGTGTTTCTTCTACCCTCTGGGAAGTTCTGGTCCAAGCTGCAAGCTCCCCACCCCCACTCAGCTCTGGGCCTGGCTTGGAGGTTGGCCACCCCCGAGTAACGCAAACATTTACATGTCAGGAACGCTGTGGACAAATAGAAAACAGTCCAGAAAGAGCAACACGGATTTCTAAAGGTCTAGAAAACAGGACCCATGACACTGGCCTGTTCACACAAGCCCCACAACTTGCTTCTTCGCCCCATGCCCAGCTGCTCCCTATGCTTCGTCCTCAGAGCCGGCACCCCTCCAGGGCTACTTCCCCATCCCATGGTCCCAGGAGAGTGTCTGTAGGAGTGACCCCGAATCCGGATTCTGGATTTTAGTTTCTTTGCCCAGCAGATTCTGTAGCTACCCCCGCTCCAGGGGCAGGTAGGTCCCGTGTTTCCATGGGGTTGGATCACACCCTGCGGTATGAAGGGACGTGTCTCTCTGCCACTAATCGGTATCCTTCCTGGCTAGGGGGATCCCTCCGGTCCCATTCCTACCCCAGCCCAGTGCCCTGTGCTCGGCGCCTGTCCCCTCCCCTCAGCCACCTCGTGTCATTACACCTGAGCTGAGCTAAGTGTCCGGCCTCTCTGCGGTATAAAGGGAGCAACTGCCCCCAGGGGACATCGCCACGTGCTGAGCGCTCAGCCTTATACCCGGCTTGTGGAACCCGAATGAAAATCCCTGCCCGGGGCTGCCGGGTGAAATACCAGCCCCTGGTTCTAGGAGCCTCAGACTCCGCCCAGAAACAGCCCTGCCCGGCCCTGCCCGCTGGGGAGTTTCCCTCAGTGCCTGGGAACGAGAATGGAACCTCTGCTGCTTTTCCTCGCCCTGCTCGCCGCGGGGAGCTGGGGACAGGTGCAGCGACTCATGCTCTGGCTCATTTCTTCAGTTTTCTGGTTTCTCTTCCCCCAGGTGTCCTCTCTCAGGTGCAGCTGGTTGAGTCCGGTCCGGGGGCTGTGAAGCCCGGAGAGACCCTCACACTGAGCTGCACCATCAGCGGTGACTCTGTCACTAGTAAATGGTGGGAGTGGGTCCGGCAGGCTCCCGGGAAAGGGCTGGAATGGGTGGGACAGATCTACTGGAGCAGTTCCAGCTGGCGCACCTACTACGGGCCGGCTTTCCAGAGCCGCGGAAAGCTCAGCGCGGACTCCGCCAAGAACCAGTTTTCGCTGCAGCTTCTCTC